ACTTTAAAATAAAACAACACATATGCAACTATTTGAAACATAAAAGAAATCATTACATAACCAACTACATAGGGGGGAAAAACATAAAGGAAAATCACATCAATTTCACACATATAATTAAATGGCTTGACTTTTTTAAAAATTGGTCCCTAGTGGAGTCGCCATCTATCGCAACCGGGATCGTGACGGAGATTGACGACAAGACTCTTAAAAAATAATAAAGATTTAAAAATAAGGGTTCGGAGTCGTCACCATAGTTTATTCTGGAAAACTACGAAAAAATCATAAAATAAGGTTTGGTCTACGAAATCAGAGTTTTGAGTTCGAGAGTCGGTTACATATAGGTATTAGCACCCTACCACGTCTGCCTGAAGAGAGTACCTATAATTAAATGTGCAGATGTGGTTTTCAAAATGGTTATTTTCCCCAAAAATAACAATCCAAGAAAATACAAATAAAAGAAAAATATTTTTATTTTTAGGAAGCCCGACAAGGATTGTCCTTGCTCCTACGTATTCATTCTCATGTAAGAAATCAGAGGTACGTAGTTCTTTTGAAAATAAGTTTTGAAAGAGGTTTGAGAAATTGATTTGGAAAATTGTTTGGAAGATTATTTTGGATTTTTGGGAAGTGAACCTGACAAGGATTGACCTTGCTCTTATGGAAAATCAATGATCACGTAGTTCTGGCTAAGATTAAATACATGAGAATTTGATATTTTTTAGCTTTTTGGAGATTTACATTTTTTTTTGTATTTTGATATAATATTTAGATTTTGCTTAATGAGCACTAAGCGGATGCGTACGATCGCACGAGTACTCGCACGACTTTTTGTTTAGTTTTTATTGTTTTGTGTAATGAGCACTAGGCTGATGCGTACGATCGCACGAGTACTCATACGACTTTTTTTTGGTTTAATTTATTATTTTGCGTAGGGAGCACTAGGTTGATGCGTACGATCGTAGAGTACTCATACGAAGGTTGGTGGAGAAATTAGAGAAAGAAGGTAGATGTAGGAAATAATAAAAAAAAGGTTGGTGGAGAAGGTGGTAGATAAAATATAATTTAGAAAAGTGATGGAATAAATAAAAGTTAGTTAGAGAAATTAATATAAAAGTGGGGTGGAAAAGTAGATGAAGAGAATGGATGAAGGAAATAATAAAATATATTAGTGGAGAAGGTGGTGAATAAAATATGATTTAGAAAAGTAGATGGAATAAATGAAAGTTAGTAAGAGAAATTAATATAAAATTGGGGTAAAAAAGTATATGGAGAAAATGAACGAAGAAAATTATAAAATATGTTGGTGGAGAAGGTGGTGAATAAAATATGATTTAAAAGTTAGAAAGAGAAATTAAGATAAAAAATGGGTGTAAAAGTAAATGAAGAAAATGGATGAAGGAAATAATAAAATAAGTTGCTGGAGAAGGTGGTGGATAAAATATAATTTAAAAATGTGAGAGGAATAATTAGAAAAGTTGCTATATAAAAATTAATATGGAAATGAAGTGGAAAAATAAACTAAAAAAGGTGGTGAGGAAGTTAAAAAATGTGGGATTATTTTGGACCATTGGGCTAAAGTTAAAAAGTTAATTTGGCAGTGTAAACAGTAAAACAAATAGTATTTTTTTTACTACCCGGACAAAATTGGATGTTGACAGATATGCTTATGCAATTTTTTATCAATTATATTTCTAAAGGGGAGAAAAGGTTTGTCTTTGTATGTACAAGTTGGTCCTCACATAAAAAATGGGAAGATTGTTGCTTAATGATTCATGTTGTTTTTTATGATGTCCATAAGCATTGAGTGGTAAATTTTGGTAGATTCTAAATAACTTGTATATGTAAGAACGTATAAAATGGTATTTTAGGACTAATAGTGGTTTTAAAATAGTAACACTTAATTATTTTAATATTAAAATGTTTTAGTGTGAATAATTTTGCTATGAACGAGTTACATTATTATAAAACACATCATTTATCTAGAATCCACTTTTCTAAATTTCTCTACCTTTTCACTAAACTCTCTCACACCTTAATTACTTGTATGAAGATAAGAGAGCCATGTAGGACTTTTATGAGCAAAAGCTACAATTTTTATCTAATGTAATTGTTGAACAAAGTAATTTCTCCTTTTACCCCTTTTAGAATCACTTTGGTGTTTTGTATGCAAGTAGGGTGGGGGAAGAGGAGGGGTTGGGGTTTTTAAGGTTCCTTGTGCAGATTTTGCATATCTTAGTGTTTAAGGGTGCTTAGAATTAAAGGACTTTGGTGTTGCTCCTACAAGTAAAGGAATTTATATTTTAAATTTAATTGTTATTAAGAATTCGCAAATTGTAATATGTGTGGTAGTGATTTATTATGAAATTAATGGATGAATATGTTTTAGAATGATAATTATACATGTTTGAAGAAATTGATTGAATTGATGCTTGAGTTGTGAAATTTTTTGTGTGACTTAATTGAAATTGGTTGATGTGTGATGAAGGTTTAAATGAGAAAATTATGTTGTATGTTGAATTTGATATTTGAGTTGTGAAGTTAAAAAATGAATATATGGAATAATGTTCTAGTATCTAATGAGTCAATTTTGATTGAACTAGATGAATTGATAAATGATATATGTAATTAGAGGATTAATTAATTGTGTTTATAAAATGGTAGTGATGAGTGTGTAATAAATTTAGTATTGTAGGTTTTTTTTAAAGATAAGGGAGTTTGACTCAATTAGTATTAGAGGGTGTTATGATCATATGAAATCTGAGTTTTTTTTTTATAGAAGCTTTTTTATGAGACCTTTGATTGATTAGATTTGGCACTTCTTAAGTCAAGAGTTTGATATATTAAAACATTATGAAGTTTATTAAGAGAGAAATAACTTGAGAATAGTCAAATTGCACAATTGAAACTGAATGAGTGTTGGGTACCACTGGGCACCAGTTGGACATGGGCACTCACTTGGCCAATGCTAGGTGATACTTTAGTACCACTGGGCGTAACCAACCCACCTATTTTTTTAAAGTTATATTATTATATTATAAAATTTATTACTTTTTTTTATTACCAAGCCACGATCAATTTAAGTTGGCTCATTAATCTACCCATTGTTATTTTTAAGTTATATTGAACTTTATTTAGATTTTAATTAGAAAAAATATTATTTTTTTGGTATTGAAGAAAAAAAAACTTGTAGTTAAGTGAGTCAATGGGTCAACCTTTTTAACTCACCAATTTGTGATAAGTCAGGCCGAGTTCAAATATTTTAAACTCATTATGAAGTTATGTTGACTCACTAAATGACTAACCCGTAATGTGCTGAGCAGAATGGAATGACCTAAATTCTATCCAAATATTATTTTTTAATCTTATTATTTTTACTATTTGTATTATTATTATTTTTATTAGTATTGATATTATAGTTGTTTTTTTATTATTAGTAGTATTATTATTAGTATAATCTATTACTTGATATTATTAGTTGTATTTTCCATAATCCATTACTTTAACATAGTGCCGTCAAAATGAGTTGAAACCAGTGAGCCAACCCGGCTCACCACGGGTTTGAGCCGGGTTGGGTTGGAAAAAAATGCAAAATTTTTTATGCGAGCCAATTTTGACCCGCCTCACTAAGAACCCGGCTCACACGGGTTGAACCCGTGGTGGGTCGGGTTGGCTTACCAACCCAGCGATTTTTTTTAATTAAATCAAATTAATAAAATTAATTATTCAAATCCTATTTTTTTTTTATTGAAATCAAATTAATTAAATTAATTATTCAAAATGCACAACCTTTACTTAGCAATATAGCCTTTCGCATTGCTGTCTTTCCAAAAGTTCCCCTATGCAAATAAAACCGTAAGATTATAGATTGTATAATATTATAGATGGAGATAAAGAAGAAGATGCTTCAAGAGAGCATAATATTGTGGATTTATCCATTCAGGACTCCAATTTAATAGATGGATAATATTATAGATTGGATAATTCAGGAATATATCATTTGTTTTATCTTGTTTTTAGACCTATCTACAAGTATGACAATTTTATCTTGTGCTATATATTTTTGTTAACGGCTATATGTAGTTTCTTGGTCAAACGATTGTGTATGTCTCATTAAACTAAATTGGCAAAATTTTATGCTTGATAGCTTAAAATATATATAACAATATATTTCTTTTGTTTCATTTTCTTTTATATCAAGTGGTCCAATTATTACTGTTTTAATTTGATCGATCAAAGTAACATGTTATAAGAATATCAGAAGAAGAGAGTGAAAAAAAAGTTAATTAATTGAGTCAACCCGTTTAACCCACAAACCCGTAGTGGGTCGGGTCGGATTCGAATTTTTTCGACTCGCTAATAAATGAGCCGGGTTGGGTTGACTCACTAAGTGACTAACCCGTTATGGGTCCGATCGGGTCGGACCGGGTTACCCGTTTTGACAGCTCTACTTTAACATAAAAAAAACCAATATTAAAATAATATTATTTATTTTTAATGAATTTATTATAATTTTTTTAATTGTTTTATCAAACTTTTATTTAAATATTATATTTATAATTATACATATATATAATACTTAAATATGATTATACAAATAAATTATTTATTTAAATATAATAATAAGTATATTAATTTTCTTAATACAAATTAAAAAAAAAATTACTCATGGTATTCGCAGGATCTTATAGTTGTCTGTTACTAAAAGACATTGTAATTATCGTTTTTTCTTGTCAGTGTTTATACACTTTGTTCAAATAGTTGAGAAATTAACAATAAAAAGTTATGAAGTAATTGATTTTCAAAATTTAATTTTTAAATTTCGCTAAACATAATATATAAAAAATAAGTTAACCGTTCTTCGTATGAATTCTTTCCATTACTTACCCCTAAATTAAATTTCACTGAATGAAACCTTAATTTGGGCTCCATCCAAACCCTTGAGAAATAAAAACAACTGGTCCAAGCCCAATTGAAAGACGGCCCGATCCAATAAGGTTTACCCTAGTTTTCACTACCTTCATATTCTCAGGGTTTCTCCTCCTTCATTCTAGTCGTTCGGTGCAGGCGCAGCAGACAGACAGAGAGAGTGTCGTCCTTCTTCAAACGCGGTCACCATGGGGCGTATGCACAGTCGCGGGTATGTTCCCATGGTCACGTTTTCACGTTAGAGAATACGGAGAAAACAGTTCTTTTCATTTTCCTTTTATCTAACGTTGTTGCTGTTCTTATGTGTTGGTTCCCTGAATGTTTTTGTTTTCAGTAAGGGTATCTCCAGTTCGGCTCTTCCATATAAGAGGACGCCACCTAGCTGGTTGAAGATTTCGTCGCAGGATGTAAGCAATGAACACCCTATTTGTTTTCTTTCTTGCACTTTGGCCTGAATTTGTGTTAATGCTATCCTTCTTCTTAGATGCTTGAAAACGGTGACTGTTAACTGGAAAGAAATCTTTTTGTAATGTGCGTATGTTGTTTGGTATCTTACTTCATTATGCATGCATATAATTAGGTTTAATGATTCTTCTTTTTCAATTGGAAACTCGTTGTAATTTTATCTCAAGCATTTGATATGTGCAAGGTCGTAGGTTGTCGATGTCGTTAGAGTTTTGTTGCGATCTGTGATATTAGGGAAGTTTGTGTAAAGAAAAATGTTGAAACCTTGTTATTTTCAGTTATTTTGAGACAATGTTCGAACTTGTTAAAACAAAAAATTGTAAGACATTGGCGAACCCTTGTTGTCGTATATAATTGTAAAATAATATTGCTGGAATTAAAATTGCTGTATTAATGATGTTAGGGCTCTTATAAACACATTGGTGTTAACCTTCTGCTATTCTAATAAAGTTATGAATATGGTTAAAGAGTTCTGATTGGTATACTTTGAATGTTTGTTGCTGTGTTAACCATACGGTGTTGTACTTATGACTTCACAGGTGGAGGAAAACATCTGCAAGTTTGCCAAGAAAGGTCTCACTCCATCCCAAATTGGTGTTATTCTTCGTGACTCTCATGGAATTGCTCAGGTTAAGAGTGTCACTGGAAGCAAGATTCTACGTATATTGAAAGCCCATGGTATGACCTTTTCCATCATTCTAGGCTTATTGTACTGTGTGGCATTTGAAATTTTACAATAGGAATGTCATTGTCATTTGTAGGTCTTGCTCCTGAAATTCCTGAGGATTTGTATCACTTGATCAAAAAGGCTGTCTCCATTAGGAAGCACTTGGAGAGGAATAGGAAGGACAAGGATTCTAAATTCAGGTTAATTTTGGTTGAGAGTAGGATTCACCGCCTTGCCCGTTACTACAAGAAGACTAAGAAGCTCCCACCCGTGTGGAAATAGTAAGTCTTTAATTTGTATACTCTATAAAGGCATAAACTTTTGCGTTTGATAATGGTTGATTTATGATCTAATTTTTTTCTTTTTTATATAGCTAGACACTAGGCAAGGTGCACTTAATCAGTAAAACTTAAACCTACCATTCCTGTTATTACTTTCCTTTTGTTAAAGGCCTAGTTTTGATAAATGGTTGTTTTAAGCTTTTCTTCATTTTCAGTCTCAACTTGTGGACCAACACTATTTGCTATGTGTTTCTTAATAAGTTGATCACAATTGATTTGTTTAAGTATTTTATCTATAGAATATTCTGAATGCATGATGATTTCAATTGTTAACAAGGATTGCTGGCTCTGCATTATTGGTCAAATTTTCCTGATAGATTCAACAAGTGCATTTTCATTACATCATTGCTTTGATCGAAAGAGTTTTTCTGAAGTTTGTCACTGTAAATCTGTCATCAATTGCGGATGGTGTTGTTTCACCTTGATTCTATGTTCCTATTACCTTATTTACTTGCTTTTATCTGCAGCTATATTATGTCACAGTGCTTCCCTGTTGTTATTGCTAATATTTGTTTGGTTTATCTTAATTGCAGTGAATCTACAACTGCCAGCACCCTTGTGGCTTAGAGTGAAATGTTCTTAAGATATGATAGAATTCTTCAATCAATGTACTTTTTGATAAGCAAATTTATTTCTTTGACGTGATTTTCGAGTTTTCAATTCTTGTTAAAACACTTATCCAATGGTAGTTTTGATGATGGATTTTTGTTTTTATTATTGATTACCGAATTGCCGTTTTGGTTTCTATGTGGTAGTAATTGAATCTGAGCATCGAATTGATGTTACTTATCGTTGGAGGAATAGCATTGACTAAGATAATATAACCTCGTCCTTGGAAGAATAATCTTTCGATTTTGATCTGATAGTTTGCATGTATCAACAATGCATTCTGTTTTAAGGATCAACATTTTTTACCTTGAGTATGGAATGATAAAATATTTGTAAGTTCCTGTTTCATAATCCTGGATTCCGCAAATGCTTAATGATAGAACATGATTGATGGAAACTACAAAGTTTTTCCTCTAGAAGAAGTTATCTCAAGTATTTTATAAGGTGAAATTTTTTAAACATTTAACTTGTGAACTTGTTCCATCTCTTAGAGTTGAAAAATGTGAAATTGAACATTTTGTTGAAGCCTTCTTGTAAGGGTTTGAACCAACATGTCATAGTCAATGATTGAATATTTTTGGCTTAAATTTAATATTAATTAAAACTTTTTCAATAGTAATTTTTAATTTGATTGTATAATCCAAGCATGGTTTAGTCGAATTTTTAATTAATTTATTAAATAACTATAGGTATTAATTACTTTGTAAGAGTACTCTTTTAATATAAACGAATATGGTATTATAAGCTATGAGAATTTTGACAATTAATTTTTATAGATAACTGATTTTGATTTTCTTCCTTCTTTCTTGCCCCGCCATAATTTTTTAAATTCTATTCATATCTTTGTTGTAGTTGTACATAATGTAATCTGTAATATAAATTTATATTTTAGATTTTACAATTCATGATACAAAATTGTATAATGGGTATAATTAGTAATGCACATTTAAAAGATAATTCGTAATTTGAATTACATTTTGGATATTAAAATTACATGATTATACAGTTTATAAATTACATTTTAAATTATAGAATTTGGAATATAAATTTTCATTGAATGTTCCGTAATGCTTCTAACACACATACACAGGCAATGGCTCAGTTGGATGCGAATACAATGGTGATGAGTGATAAGCGAAGAGTGCAGAGGATTTAATTTCAACTGTTATTTCTTTGCAAATTGCTTTTTTTATTTTTTTTCTTAAATCTCTTGTTCCTTTCTCAAATGAAAAAGAAAATAAAAATAAAAATTCAGTTCAGAATTTGGTTTCGACTTATCTTTTAACTGGGTTTTTTTTTATCACAGTTTAAAATTTGATTGTTTTTAAAACTATATCTTATTTTAAAAAAATGTGTTATCTATATAAATATTTGGTAAGTGTATATTTAGATCACTTTTCAGCTAATGTTTGCTGTTTGGGTGAAAAATTTATATATATGATGATACACATCTATACAATTATAACTATATATATGATGATACACTTTTTAGTATCCTTACTTTTTTTCAATTTTACTTTCTTAATTACTATTTTAAAAAATTTAAATAAGTATTTTTAATAAGAAAAATTGTTTTCAATTTTATCATTTTAGTAACTATTTTTTTGAATTTAAATAATTACACACTATAAAATGATTATTTATATTTTTACCATTTTAGTAACTATTTTTTTTAATTTAAACAACTACTCATAATAAAAAATTTATTCACACAATATTTCTTATAATATTTTTATTTCAATAACTAAAATTTAGTTTATTTATAATTATATACACATTTTGTTTTCACAATTTTACTCTTTTAATTACTATTTTTAAAATTTGAATAATTATCTATAATAATACATAAATTCTAGTAAATATAACTTAATACAAATTAATTTACTTTATATATTAACTTAATAACATTATAATTTCATCACTTACTAATATAATATTATAAATATTTTAAAAATCCGTACAAACTATCAAGTTTGTGTTTATGCTAGTCTATACTTATATACAAAAGAGATTTTCTTTTTTGGTGTCCACTTTTTTTTTCACTTTTACTCTTCAAGTTATAGTTTTATTTTACTAAAATTGATTTTTTAAATTTAACCATTTCTTTTAAATTTAAGTATTTTTCTAAATTAAATAAATAAAATCATCTACTAAAACAAATAAAAATCATCTAAGAAAATAAAAATTATTTATATTTATTTTTATAATAATAAATTCATTATCTTTTGTTATCACATAAAAGTAAATACACACGTATTTGTTTTCACTAGTCTATAACTATATATAAAGAAGATACACGTATTTGATGTCTTTTGTTTTTCTAATTTTAATATCTTAATTTTTTTTAAAATTTAAATAGTTATTCATTTTAGTTTTATCATTTTAGTAACTATTTTTTTTAATTTAAATAATTACTCATTATAAAATGATTATTGCAATATCCCATTTTAATAACATAAAATAACTAAAATAAGAGTTACAAATATATCAACTAAGGAAAACTATAGTTTTTTTAAAGAAGATTCTATACTTGGAGAACAAAAACCTATCTATGATATTGTTTCACTCTCAACGTCACACTGAAACAATTTAAAAGATGTCATCTCTAAGCTCACACCATTTAAGGTGATCATTGCAAAAGAGAAAACACATATAGACAGACAAAGACAAAACAAGGATAAGCTAGTAATAGAAAGAAACCAACAAGATATATTAATATCGCATCATACATCACATTTCACACAGAATAAAACAACCATCCTAATCATGCTATAGACCTAAACTTGACCATCCAGATATAGTATGAATGTCGAACTATAGCAGGTTCTACCCTTGTGTAGAATATCAGATATAGATGGAATAATTGATCCACTCAAAGTTACCATACAAGGTTAGCCCGTTAAAATGCCCTTTGCTAAATGGAGAACACACCCAAACTAGGACCATGACGGGTTATGCACTTGTGTGGTGGAACATATGACTTACTCAAAGCTACCATACAAGGTTAGTCTGTAAAATCGCCCTTTGCCAAATGGAGAAAGACCCCAGGCTAAGACCTCTTGCTACTCTCATCACATGACTCACCTTTCTCTATTTGAAAATGGATGATCATTAGAGTGTCAGGATAACCCCCAGAATTGAACTTCATACATTCATACCAACAAAACTTGAAATCACCAATACGAATTTTCTCCTCGAAACTCTTTTCCACACTTTTTCATCCACATATATAACTTCATGTAAACACAAAGAAAATCACATGAAACCATTACATATCCATCAATGCACAAGAACCAATTCTAAGTAAAACCACTAAAACAACACAAAAACTATGTAAACCTAGACTTACAGAAGTGGCACTCAGCATCTAGAAGGTAGCGCTCAACGCTCTAACCATTGGAAAGTGGCGTTGAAGCCTTTGGAATGTGGCGCTCAAGCGCCTAGAAAGGGGTGCTCATTGCCATACCAATTGACAACACTGCGTTTTTGGTTTTTGATGCACCTGAGACTTATCCAACTAATCAAATTGATTCCTTACACACTAAATTTGATGTGAAAACACATTTATAGATGAAACTAAGTATCCCTTTGAATATTTAAATTGAGACTAGATGCATTAAACCATTTGACAACTCCAAAAAATACCCAAACTCAATCAACACCTTCTAACTCGAAACTTTACAAATTGAAGGTCTAAACCAGTCATAAAGGACTCAAAAACATATCCCAAACCTCATTTTCATTACAACCTCTATACATTAGAGTTTCACTAATTAGAACCTCTCGAAATGAACTAAAGCATGATAGAAAATCAACATATTAACCACTTACCAGTTCCATTACAAATTTTTCTTAACTCAACATTTAATCAAGTCTTAAGAGACATAAAAACTAACCTTAAACTTCTGGTTTTAACATCTAACCATTTCTCAAAATCTCTATTAACAAAACCCCTAAACTTGAGTCTAAAACCTTATAAAACCCACTTTATTAACTAACACCACTTTCTATCTCAGATTTTAACTAACTCTAAGCTCCCACAAGTTTCAATTATCCAAACAATATGTTCTAAATTGTTATTTCTCCCCTTGGACCCTTACTTCTAAATTCACTTATCAAAACCTCCATTTTAAATAAAGAAAAAGACCGGTAACTCAGTCTAAACCACTTCCTCTCAACACTAGAATCAATTTGACACCACCAAACATCTCAACAACAACATTCATGACAATAATAAATTCTAAACCGAATCAACAAGGTACACAACATCATTAAACCAATAACCATAATTCCAAAACATTCAATACTTAATAACCATCATTTTTAACATAATCAACACATGCATTAATTTCATATACTACCAAATATCATTTCATACTTAATAATTCAATTATAAGATAACACTAGCTTCCTTTACCTTTTACCTTTTTAGAAGACTAATAAACAATAGTAGAGAATCCTATATCGCTCTTATAGCTCAAAGAGTTCTATTTGCACTTACACAGACAATGAAAACATGATCAGGGTACGCCGTTAGAACCACTTATCAATAAAGAGCTTAAAAGAGGACTCAAACAATATATGCGACATAGCGAAACCCCACACACATTGGAAAACGTCAAACTGAAGAAAGAGTATAAAACTGATTTACTTTATTTGAGAAACTGATCGGGTAGAGTTGAAGATCTCACCATGAGGATCACACAGGCGGTCTTCGATATTTAAAGAGATGACAAGTTGCAAGAACAGAAAAGGCAAATGACTCTAGTTTCTAGATGATGTGTTTTAAAATAATGTGATGAAATAATTTATATTAAGACCTTTTAATATGAAAATAAATGAGTCTCATTATTTTTAACCCACTACCACTTCTAAAATACCATTTTCTAGGTTTTCACAATTATTTACATATTTATCATTTTAGTAACTACTTTTTTAAATTTAAATAATTATTTATAATAAAAAATTTATTTACACAATATTACCTATACTATTTTTTATTTTAATAGCTAAAATTCATTTTATCTAACAAAAATCCAAATTCTCGAATTTTTAATGTTGTAATTGATCACAAACCCTCGTTCGTATATTGAACTAGTCGATACAATTTCATAAAATAATACTATACATAAACTAATAATCATATTGATATTTGAGAAAGGATTTGCAACCTTTTCACCACAGGTTATATTACGAGTTTAGACAAAAACATGCGTTGAGAAAGGATTTGCAACCTTTTCACCACAGGTTATATTACGAGTTTAGACAAAAACATGCGTCATATTTTCCAAACTTTAAATATTCATCTCCTGTTTAATACTATATACAAACTATAATATTTTATATAACTTCACTAATTCCTCCGTTTTTCATTTTAACTTAATTACAATTTTAATTTTGTATATGCACGATCTTAATTATCGTATTTTCTTATTCACATAGGCTCTGTTCACTTTAGAAGATGAATTTGGGAGAGATGGAGTGAACGGATTTAAGGAGATTTGAGAGTGAGTTGATTGGTGTTTGTTTTAAGGGATTTAGAGGTGAATGAGAGTGAATTTGAAAATAAAGTTTGTGAAAATTAGTGTAAGATTTGATCGATGTGAGAGATAAAAAAATGATGTAATTAGTAGAAATTGAAGATTATCAAAATATCCATAATAATATAAGTAATAAAAAGTTGATAATTGTTAATATTATATATAATTGTAAAAATTATTATAAAGAAAAAAATAAAAATTAATTTTTAATATGAAAAAAAATTATAGGTTTAATAGCCAACTTTGTCCCTAGTTTGGTTGACAAATCTCAATTTAGTCTCTCTTTAAAAAAAAGTGTTCGAAATTGGTCCTTACTTTTAAATTTTTGAGTCAAAATAGTCCCTTCCGTTAAGTATAACCAAACAGAGTTAATGGATTAATGATGTGGCACTACTTATTGATTACATGTCAAAAAATGTGCTTACGTGTTGGTTAATTAGAGAAGAATTTTATTCAAAAATTGGGTTTTTTTAATTGAGCAACCATCTTCTCCCCCACTCGTGGCGTCGCACCTTTTTTCTACTCGCCAAGAGCATCACCGACGACGCCACCTATGCTGGACGCAGCAGCTCGAAACCTTCGTTCCCGCTTTTCGTGCGCGAGAGGAGTCTCGTCTATTCCTGCGATGCCAACGGCATGGACCAGGATCGCCACGGCCGCGATTCGCTACATCTCCTCCAGCTGGCTAAGACCCGCGCCGATTGCAATATCCAACCACTCACGCTGACGCTGCCACCAAGAGCACCACCATACTACCCGTCGGACTGTCGCCGACGACGCCACAATTCAGAACGGAGAAGGAACCAATCTTCTGGGCGAGGGAACTCGCCGCAACAACCTCGACACCGATGACGCGAATGAACACACCAGTCATATAATAAGGATCGATCTCTGATATCGTTGGACAACGGATTTCCTCACTAAAGGGTGCATATTAGGGTTTGCGTACCAAAACGAATTTGGGGAAATGAGGAATGAATTCCTGGGTTAAAATTTGATGAAGATGATGGGAGTAGATTCTGCCTCATTTTTTATTGGATTAAGAAAATGAAGCAGATTGAATTTGATTTTTGGGGAGTGTGATGTTTATTGGCTAGTCTTCTCCACTTAATGTTTTTCTTCTCTGGATATTGCTTTGCTTTCTGGGTGCATGTTAAAGAGATGTTGGTGAATGAAGGTATGTAAAGATGAAGAGTGTGATGGTTGGTGGTAGCGTAAGAAGGGGTATGAAAAATATGATGGTTTTGTGTTGAGATGGATGGCGTAGAGGGGAGAAGAGGATGAAGATAGATTGGGGTTATGGGCCGAGACACAAGAGATATTCTTTTTTTTTAAAAAAAAGAGAGAATGAAACAGTTGCTAATTATTTTATTTCCCTAATTAAAAAAACCCAATTTTTGAATAAAATCCTTTCTTCTCTAATAACCAACACGTAAGCACATTTTTTGACACGTAATCAATAAGTAGTGCCACATCATTAACCCATTAACTCCGTTTGGTGTTATACTTAACGGAATGAACTATTTTGACTCAAAAATTTAAAAGTAAGGACCAATTTCAAACAATTTTATAAAAAGAGACTAAATTGAGATTTGTCAACCAAACTAGGGACAAAGTTGGCTATTAAACCAAAATTATATTATTATTGTTATTATTTGTTATTACTTTTTTTATTATTAGTATTATTATTATTTATTATTATTTAATGCAGTAATATTATTTACGAAACTAATTTTTGACATAACTACAATGAAAGAATAATAAAATTATAGTTTATTTTCGGGTGAAACGACTTCCTCTTTTCTTTATCACTTGTAGTTAATAAATGAAATTATTTGACACTTGCAAGCTCATAACACCAAGCTCATGACAAATACACTTCGCATGGATTTGGTTACCTGCATGAAATGGGTTACATATAAAGCTGGAATCGAATATATTATATATTGAAACCAAATACATTACACATTGTAATCAAATATGATATATTGGAATCAAATACACTTTTCATTGGAATTGAGGCGATTACAAGTATTGGAATTTATCTCAAATCTTTTCAAATCGGCGCATTTCAACTATGAATGAAAAACCTTTCAATCCCACAATTCCTCACTTTTCCTTCTTTTCAAATCCATGCAAGTGAACATAATTTCAATTCACAATCCGTCTGCTCAATTGTCTTTGAACATAGAATTATCCTCAAATGAACACAAAAGGACATAATTATCCTCATGAAAGAGACAAATATTCATTCATTTGCAGACAAAATTTTAGAAAGACATAATTATCCTCGTGAAAAGAGAAAGATGTTCATTCATCCATTTGCAAGTTGAGTTTCAAAGAAAAATGTAAATTTTTGTGCCTCTGAATGAACCAATTAATTGATAGACTTTTGGATGAAAGTGATTAAGTAGAAATATCTTGCAATCGCACACAAATATCTGTAATTGCAACCAATCACTATCTCAACCAAATGTCTCTGTGTGCATAACTTGAACTTACACAATGTAGTCTATATTATTTCAAATTTTGGGGCAAAAGTGAAATCATATAAGCTTATGAAACTTCGTAACAAACGCTTACTAGATCAATAAAGAATGGTTTAATGGAATTCAAACTTTCTTACTAATCTAAAGAGGTAGTTTTCCATTGTAAACTCATTGAAAAAGAGAGCTAGAAAGTGATAAACACAATGGAAAAGGAATGAAGAGTAAGAAATGCGTTTATCTCTTCCATGGAAACAAAGATAACCTTATCTTATCCAAATGGGAGGCAATGAGCCACCATAGATTGTTGAAATGAAACTATAAAAGGGATATTGTACACGTTGCCTTAGCCCAAATTGGTGACTCAACATAGCAAGTAACTTTTACACTAAAATACAACTTATATAACCAAAATATCTGAAAGTTGGAGCCATTGATGGTTGTTTGTCTTGGTTCTTCTTCACACCAGCCATGGGCTTCACCCATTCCCACCCTCTCGAAATGCACGACTGCAGAACACGTGAACCAACTCCATGCACGCATCATCACAACAGGGTTCATAAAAAACCCTTCCTTTACCACCAGACTCGTCCTCTCTTTCATTTCCTCACCCCATGAGCCTCTTGTGGAGTTTGCTCGATACGTCTTCTTCAAGCACCATGCTTTTTGCCACCCTCACGACGACCCTTTTCTCTGGAACGCTGTTATAAGGTCACACTCTAATGGGTGTGACCCCAGAAGGGCTCTGATCCTGCTCCGCTTGATGCTCGAGAATGGGGTGTGTCTGGATGCGTACACGTTTTCCCTGGCTATGAAGGCTTGTGGTAAAGTGGGTTTGATCAGAGAGGGAATGCAGGTTTGTGGGTTGCTCTGGAAAATGAATTTTGGGTCTGATATATTTTTGCAGAATTGTTTGATCGGGTTGTTTGTGAGATGCGGGTGTGTGGAGCTTGCACGGCAGGTGTTTGACAGAATGCCTGACCGTGATATTGTTTCGTATAACTCGATGATTGGTGGGTATGTGAAGTATGGGGCGGTTGAGCGGGCGCGTGAGTTGTTTGATGATATGGAGGAGAGGAATTTGATTACTTGGAATTCGATGATTGGAGGGTATGTGAGGTGGGAAGAGGGTCTGGGGTTTGCTTGGAGTTTGTTTGTTAAAATGCTTGAGAGAGACTTGGTTTCATGGAACACGATGATTGGTGGTTGTGTGAAGCACGGGAGGGTGGAGGATGCTCGGAAGTTGTTTGATGAGATGCCAGAAAGAGATACGGTGAGTTGGGTTACCATGATAGAAGGTTATGCGAAATCGGGTGATGTTCTTGCTGCGAGGAGGTTGTTCGATGAAATGCCAAGGAGAGATGTTATTTCTTGTAATTCGATGATGGCTGGCTATGTTCAGAATGGTTATTGCGTTGAGGCTTTGAAAATATTTCATGATATGAAAAGGGCAGCGAATGTATTTCCTGATGATACTACACTGTTGATTGTTCTTACAGCGTTTGCCCAATTAGGACACGTCGAAGATGGAGTTGTGATACACCATTATTTGATGAAGAGGGGATACTCTCTGAATGGTAAGCTTGGTGTTGCTCTAATTGACATGTATTCAAAATGTGGTAGCATTGAGAATGCAGTCTCAGTGTTTGAGAATGTTGAACAAAAATGCGTTGATCATTGGAATGCTTTGATCGGTGGCTTGGCTATTCATGGAATGGGTGAGATGGCTTTTGATTTTCTCATGGAGATGGGAAGGGTTTCAGTTATTCCCGATGATATAACATTCATTGGAGTGTTGAGTGCTTGTAGGCATGCTGGCATGTTGAAGGAGGGAATGATATGTTTTGAGATCATGCAAAAAGTGTACGAACTGGAACCTAAAGTGCAACACTATGGATGCATGGTGGATTTGCTTAGCCGAGCAGGGCATGTTGAAGAAGCCAGGAAACTCATTGAGGAGATGCCTGTTGAACCTAATGATGTGATTTGGAAGGCTTTACTTAGTGCTTGCCAAATTTATGAAAACTTCTCTATAGGAAAGCCTATAGCTCAGCAATTGACTCAGCTATATTCATGCAGTCCAAGTTCCTATGTGCTCCTGTCTAATATTTATGCCAGTTTGGGCATGTGGGACAATGTAAAGAGAGTTAGGACTGAAATGAAAGAAAGACATTTAACGAAAATTCCAGGTTGTAGTTGGATTGAACTGGGGGGAACTGTTCACCAGTTCTCTGTACAAGACAGGACACACCCTCATGTTACTGAGATTTATTCTTTGTTAAATAGTTTGTAAATTCCTATTTTGAAGTTCATCCATGTGATATTGTTTGAGGTGTGAAATGTGGATGAAAAGTAGATTTCTTCTTGGAATATGCTGTCTATGTAACCATTTATTCATGTTAACAAATTTAGCATGCATATATGGTTAGTCTCCAATCTAAATACACAGACAGAGACAATGAAAAGTTTTTGATACTTTCTAGCATAACTCAATAGATGAAATATATTTGAATCATTTAAATCACATGGAATTTAGTCAGGAAATTGGGTATTAGTATTCTGTTATGTGTTGTTCTGGGGTCAGGTGTTATTCTTCGTGACTCATTGAATTGCTCAGGTGAAGAGTGTCACTGGAAGCAAGTTCTCCTTATATTGAAAGCCCATGGTATAACCTTTTCCATCATTGGCGGTTATGGTACTGTGTTGCATTTGGAATTTTACAATAGGAGTGTCATTGTGTTAGGTTCCTTTACTGAGGGACCGTAACCGATGGCTCACACACTCAACAAAAGAAGGCAAATGTATGAATATGAATTTTATAGGCAAATGTATGAATATGAATTTTATTAATTCGGTAAAATATGGAAAGCAGAATTAAAAGTATTCCCCCAAGGAAGCCTCCCTTCCTTCACCGGAAACGATCCCGGTCTTTACCCAAAAGGCAAAAAAATATCTGGTACCCCTCTCCCCCAATTCTGTTTATTATATATATTCTCTCTCTTCTAACAAAATATAACAAACTAACCTCCTTGCTTCTAACTTTCTTCCTTCTTATTCTTCCTTTAGTAAACCTTTAATGGTCTAACATTACCCTCTCTCCAAGATCAACCTTGTCCTCAAGATTGAAATTATGGAACTGTTGGCAGATATAGTGCTCCTCCTCCCACGTAGACCCTTCCAAATCATCCTCTTGCCATTGTATTAAGACTTGGGGTATCTCCTTCCCGTGTTGCTGCTGGTTCCTACGTTGTAGCACCTTCAGAGGGATGTACATGTGTCTGCCTTCCTGCAATTCAGTTGGTAAAGCTTCCTCCACCCGATGGTCTCCTACAACTAGCTTCAACTGAGAAACATGGAATACAGGGTGTATTCTGGAAGTTTCTGGTAACTGCAGCCAAAAAGCAACTGGTCCTATTTGTTTTTCCACCAAAAATGGCCCATAATACCTTGTTGAAAGCTTAGGATGCAGTTTTGTGGGCATAAATGTTTGTTTATGAGGTCTGATTTTAAGGAATACCAAATTGCCTTCCTTAATCTTGGTCGCCACCCTCTTCTTATTGGCATAATGGGTCATCTGATCTTGAGCACGTGCCAAATGATATTTCAATTGCTTCAATGCCTCATCACGGGTTTGTAAATCCTGGGCGACTGCATCCACTACAGTTTCTCCCGGTATGTAACGTGTCAGTGTGGGAGGAGGTCTTCCATATACAGTTTGAAAGGGTGTGCATTTGGATGCGACTTGGTAAGTAGTGTTGTACCAATACTCAGCCCAAGGCAACACCAAACTCCAACTCTTGGGCTGTTCGGAGCTAAAATAATGGAACGAAACTACATTAGATAAACCTTACTAATTTAAAATGTTGAATTAGATTTAGTTTCATAAAATGGATGATGCTAGTATTAAATATAATAATTTATATATGGATATATGGTCGTGCTCCATGACAAGCTTCCCATTCCAGATGTTTGTAGAAAAAGATTGAAAATGTTATTTAAGAAAAAACCTCTGTTTACTTATTTCTTATTTGTCTAATGCTTTCCTAAATGAGTTGTAGTATTTTAATATCATAGTTCCGCTTTATGCATGCATTAGTTAGATACATAGTATTTTACCAATATATTAAACTGAACATGTGACTGTCATATTATACAATGATTTTGATTGTGTTTTAAAAAATATGCAGTATATAGTGATATGGATAAAGCAGTTAGTGAAATGGTAAGTATGGTCTAATTGTTTAAATTTAATATTGAATAGGCACATTGTTGTATTCAATTTACTAACATATGCTTTGCTTGCAGGTCTCACTTAGAGTTAGGCATCGATTCCAGACACAAAATATAGTTGAAGTGAATGGTTGCCTATCATCCTTTCAAAAGGAACTATTAAAAGTCGACACCTTTCAAGTGGTTGGTGGATATGGTTAACAATTGGTTATTTCTAGTCTCATTCTTTTAGAGTTAATTTGTAGGTGGGATGTGGTTCATAAGGCGTTTAGGATTAGGGAGAATTTAATGCCTTTTAGAGTTGAGGAAATTTGTATTTTTTTAGGTTTACCCAATGTTGGTGAAAGTATTAATTTAGAAAATGATGTTGGTGGCTGTTGAGATGTTGGCAAGTGTATGAATCGTATCAAGTAATAATAAATGGTAAGACCAAGTATCGTTTCCCAAGAGACTCACGACACTAAATAGTTATGTGATTACTCAACTAATTAAGATTCTGAAGAACAAATTTTTGGGGTTTTTGAATGCAGATGCAATAAAAATAAACATGAATGCAGTTTGATCAATTGAGGCTAAACATAAGAATGAATTGGTGATGTTGATAATATGAGATGAATATGTTGTTGGGGTTTAGATTTCACCTAGTCTACTCTCATGAATGTATGAATTCATCATCTTCATTAAAGTCAACGTCACTCACTAAATTACTTAAAACCCGATCCCTCAGTGAAGAAAACCTATCCTTAATTACTAGTTCATACGATTCCTGGCATTCCTTGTAATTAATTCTTAAGATTAGGAGCTTAAGACGACCAAGACTCATACCCCCATCCCTGAGAAATACTGCTCTTGGGAATAATTTTACAAGAACCTGAATTGTAAGGAACCTCCCGGCACTCATGCAATTCATACATCACGCTATGAATGAGTTAAAAAAAGCAAGCATTGATCATAGAAGAATTACCCTAACAATTAATGAAAAAAGCATATATAATTAAGAATCAATTCAAAATACATGAGAGTTTAAGAGGTTACATCTTTCCCAACAACAAATAAGGTTTAGTTCTCCATTATCATGAAGAAACTAGATGAACAATGGAATGAAAGGATGAAAGAGAAAGAAAAACCCTAGAAAGAGAAGATGAGAGCTTTCACAATTCCCAAATCTACCCCCAAGGGCTGAAAAATGTGTTTCTGTGCTCAAGCCATCAAAAGATACAATCCCTAAGACGTCCAAGTCCTTAAATAGAACATAAAAATAACAGAAAACAGGTCTAAGCCCACTTCGCTAGCGCTCAACACCCTAAGTGGGGCGCCCAGGTGGTTTGCGGGTCAAAACTAGCGCTCAACGCCCCTGGAAGGGCGCCCAGGCGTGGTGCGGGAAGAAAAATGGCGCTCAGCCCTGGCGGTAGCATTCCAAAACTCACTTTTGTTGTTGTTTTGCTTGTTTTTTTTTGGCTTATTCAGCTCTATACAACTCTATTTATTGTTGGAGATTCTTCCAAGCACATTATTAGCTACAAAATAAAGGGAATTTAGTGATAAAATCATAAAGTATAACCTCTACTCACTTATTCACAAAACTAAAGCAAAAACATGAGTTCAAGCAAGCTTCTAAGTAAAAAAGGGTGCGTTTAGTATCTAAATTATACCACAGATAACAGTATTTTCAACCGTTATCACAACCTCGAACTTGAAATTTGCTTGTCCTCAAGCAAAATGTAACTTGGCTTAAACAAAATAATCATACTATAATGGTCAAGCATATCAAAAAGCATTTTCTTTTTAGACAAGTAAATTACTCATGAATGCATCATAGAAAGATTAGTCATGATATAATGATGCTTTAGCCAATCAAGCTTCAATTATGGTGCTCAAATAATCAAGACATACACAACAGATGCAAACCTCATGAATAATCAAAAACCAAGCAAGAATGTTATCATAAAGTGCATGGAACTAATCCTCACAAAGACAGTGTTTCACTCAAGCACTCAAAAGTGTTTCACTCAAGCACTCAAAAGTGTTTCACTTAAACTCAAAGGTGTATAGTGAGGTGACACTCTTACACTCTACCATCACAATGTCACATGAATAAACTTTTTCTTTCATTTAACCACATATCAAACACACTCGCAAGCAAGTTATCATATCATAAGGGCTTTACAAGGCTTGTATTGAGCCGAGCTAAGAAGAAAATTGGTTTTTCTAGACAACAAAATCCTTGAGTTAAGAGAGTGTACAATTCATTTATTCTCATTAAAAATCTCTCTTTCTCCTTTTATGTGAGAAACCAAATCTTCAATTTATTCCCAACTTTCCTTTCATTGAGCTTAACCTTTCTTTTCTTTCTTCTCTTCTCTTTTATTTTTCTTTTGCTTTTGCTCAATGATCTTTGATGAATTTCACAAAGTTCTTTCCGGTTTCTCACCACCCTAAACTTGAACCATTCTCCATTACCACAAAAACATACTCTACTTAACTCAAGGTAAGGATTTCAAAAAGGTGTTTTCCACTTTTCAAATTTAGGCTCAAGGTTCAAAGGATAAAGAGAAACATTGCTCTTTGATGGATTCACCTATTGGCATTGGCTCTAAGGGAGAAGAAAAATGGCCTTGATCATATGTAACAAACAATCAAGTGGTTCAATAATAGAAAATTAGGCAAAATCAATCATGCTTCCAAAGCAATAACATTCAATCAAACAAAAACTCTAGAGTCCAACCTCTCATAGGTTAAATCAAGTTCCACAATTTGATAACATCCTGCCCAACATATTAATCACAATTGAAAGCATGCATTTATTTTTAACAAAACTATGAGCAACCACCATCTATGCTTAAAAGCCTCACCAATCATAACTAAACATGCATCATAGAACAATAGAGCAAACACAAGAGTATTACTCATCACAAACAGTTTATCACATCATACCCAACCATTGCAGCACAATTCATTAAACCAAGTACATAAGCAAGCTAACATAAAAACAAAATAAACAAAATTTAAATAAGCAATAAAATAAAAACATAAAAATCCTGATCCGACAGCATCCATCAGTAAATGCTTTCATCTGAATCTTCCAACATCCATCAATAGATGCAAATCCTTCACATCAACATCCATCAGTAGATGCTCTCAATAACATCCATCAGTAAATGTCTAGTCTTTCTAATCAGCATCCATTAGTAAATGCTGATCTTTCTCATTTTCATCGGCATCCATCAGTAGATGCCT